GATTCCTTGTTAGTGTGGATCTAAAGTACATTTTTCCAGGTCTCCATTAGTTCTACTCCTCAGACACGGCTTCTCTGGGGTCCCTGTCACATTCCCTGTGTGTTCAGCCAAGTTTCTTCCTTCTGGATGGTTGGAATTCATCCAACCTTATAAGAGCTTGCAAGAGCTTTGGTGGCAGTTCTTTGGTTAATTTTCTGGCATCTGTCTTATGTGCAGCTTGGAATTGAGCTGGGCTCAAGTGGACCCCTGTAGACATCTCCTTCTCTGTTTGGTTCTCCCAAATTCCAGCTGCTGCTGCTTCCCCAAATTCTGATTTTTATTCAGTGAGATTGTTACTGGCTGGTGGATTGTAAAATTCCTTGGTTCTTGTCTTCTTGAAGGAAAGAATTCAGTCGAGAGACTCCGTAGAGAATTAAACAAAGGTTTTATTTAGCAAAGGGGGAGTACACTCCAGAAAGGTAGCAAAAGAGCTTGGTCTACGCGAGATGATGCGGTGTCTGGGCGGAGACTGGGTAGTCCCTGGCAGTTTCCTACCTGCCATCGTCCTTTCTCCCCTCCTGCTCAGGTCTGTCTAGCTGCCTCCAGTAGCAAGATCACAGTGCTCTTTTGGGATTCCCTTCCTTACATCACAGTTCAGAAAGTACCTCCAAGCAAAACAAGTGATCCTCAGAAAGGCCCTGCCTGTTTCTTTCTCTTCTCTCAGGGATGATAGTCCCAGCTGTCTGTTGTCTAAGGTTTGAAAACAATTGTGTATTATGTATTTTCCCAATTAAACAGTTTATAGTGGTAGGACTTATCCAGTAACAGTTACTCTGTCATGGTTGAATACTGTTTTTAAATCCATAGTTCAGTTAAGTATCGACTATTATGTTGTAAGTTCACGGGTAGAGTCAACAGATTTTAAGCAAATAATATGTGATATGATCTCACATATATTAATTTTCTGAGAATGACTTTTTAAAATTAATTTCAGGGGCACCTGGGTGGCTAGGTTGTTTAAGTGTCTGACTCTTGATATTGGCTCATGATCATGATCTCACAATGGTGGGATCAAGCCCGACATGGGGCTTCATGCCCAGCGTGGAGCCTGCTTGGGATTCTCTCTCTGCCCCTCCCCCACTTGCTCACTATCTCTCTCTCAAAAAAAAAATTAAAAATATTAATTTCAGGGGTACGTAAGTGGCTCAGTTGATTAAGTGTCGGACATCAGCTCAAGTCATGATCTCACAGTTTGTGAGTTTGAGCCCTGCTTCAGGCTCTGTGCTGACAGCTCAGAGCCTGGTGCCTGCTTCAGATTCAGTGTGTCCCTGTCTCTCTCTGCCCCTCTCCTGCTCATGCTCTGTATCTCTCTCAAAAATAAACATTAAAAAAAAATATATTAATTTCAAATGAATACTGCTGGCACATTGATGATTCTAAACAAAGAATAATTACCCAAGTCCTATGACACTTTTATCATACCCATCTTCTTTTAGCAAATGTATTTCTTGGATAGTTATTGGATATAATTGCTTTAGAGATTTTATTCTCCATTTCTTTTTAAATCCTTTGGAGGTAGAGTCTTTATTTTTAATAATTATTATTTGGATTGGACTAATGGCAAGATTTAGAGATAGCCAGCATGCTTCACTACATACTCACGTAGTGAACATAATAATCATATGATAAAAAAATACTTATTTTATTCTAAAATAGTGTATTCACCTTTATTGTAAAACAACTTGCTGCATAGACCTTCTGTCTGGTGATTCAAACTTCAGAAGAATCATTGGCCTGGGTGACTTTTAAATGTCCTTTTGACCTGGAGATTCTATTATTCCTCAGCTGATTCAGCAAGAATGTCTTGAGTGCCACTGTAATTGTGTACCTTATATAAGAAGAAAAGCTGCCTTTGCCTCTAAGGGCCTTGGAATTTAATTGGTGACATAATACCTGCCTATGTACAGTAGGTAACATTTACAAATTGTGTATGGTTAATTGCAGAATGAACAGCACAAACCTAAAATGCCTGAGATGTTAAGTCAGAGAGAGAGACCCTGGCAGAAGTAATGACAAAGAACACGTCTTGTCATCTTATGTTGGGGAGTGGGAGTAAAAGACGACAAGTGAAGCAGGAAAAGGAGTATACATTCAGAGGAATGTTAGGAAAGAGGCCAGCCTAGCAGAAGTAGAGAGCCGTTTCAGTTTCATTTAGTCTTATTTTGAAGATGTGTGGCTAAGCCATGAACTTAACAGTACGTCGCAATTGCTCTGCAGTGGTATCAGCAGTGGCATTTCTTCAGCAGCCGTGCTTGGTGGTAGCATCGGCCGCCTAGATTTGAAAGCGTTGCATCACTAAGGTGGCACCAGTAATTGTTCTAATGTTGCGGTAGAGCAAAAATGTCTCATGGAAAAATCCTTATCCTATCATGAGCTACATCTGTTTGAAAAACAGGAGGAACAGAAGAATATCCATCTGAGAACTGTCTTTTTGGACTGTTAGGTGTTGGAGAAATTCTTTTGAGTTCTGTGGCTCTTCTCTGTGTGAGTCTAGTAGATTCTGGTCTTTTGTTTAACTTGAGACTCAAGGTCACACCGAGGTTAAGACTGTCTCGCTGTGTTGATATTGAAACCTGGACACAGTATTCCATGCTGTTGTTTAATTTTTTTTCCGGTGATACAGTGATAATTCAAGGCACGTTAATTAGGTTTTGCTTAATGTTATTTGGTAAAATCAAATGTAACTATGTATTAGAATAAAAAGTTGAAATAAACGTCCTACAAAGTGAAAAAGAAGTGCTGTAATTTCTTTCCATTGACTGTGACCTAAACAAGGTATAGACTATTTCTATAATTATTGAATATGAAATATACATAGTCATCTATAAATACGAAAATCCCAAATACTGAGTTTCAATGTGTTATAGTTTTCATTTGTTAAAATTATAGAACTATACTTTAATATTATAGTAATAATATTTTATAGTTAATACAGTTGATATTTTGTGTGAAAGAGTATTAAAGGCTGGAAACATGATTAAGTAACATACCGAAAACTTGTATGTCTTCATTCAGATTTTCTAAAATCATTGTTAAAAAATGCTTAATAATCATGGTATCCTTGCTGTGTGTATTGTCTTTTCGCACTGGCTTATTTTGAGGCAAAAGTCAGACTCCTAAGAGTGTTTGATGAAAAAGAACAGAGAAATTCCAAAAACAGTGAAAGGAGGGAAGGAGACAAATACAAGTTTTCTTGGGGACAGAACTGAATGTAAGTGTGTCAGTTTTATGCCACCGTAGAACTAGCAGGTAAAGTTTTTGATGTGGTTGCTACTTAATAATCTTCAATGCTGGGGGCACCTGGGTGACTCAGTCCGTTAAGCATCCGACTTCAGCTCAGGTCATGATCTTGCAGTTCTTGGGTTCGAGCCCCGCTTCGGGCACTGTGCTGACAGCGCAGAGCCTGAAGCCTGTTTCCGATTCTGTGTTCTCCCTCTCTCTCTCTCTGCCCCTCCCCCACTCATGCTGTCTCTGTCTCTCTCTCTCTCTCTCTCAAAAATAAACATTAAAAAAAAATTTTTTTTAATCTTGAAAAAAATAATCTTCAATACTGTGTAAACTTTTATTTAAAAAAAAATTTTTTTTTTCAACGTTTATTTATTTTTGGGACAGAGAGAGACAGAGCATGAACGGGGGAGGGGCAGAGAGAGAGGGAGACACAGAATCGGAAACAGGCTCCAGGCTCCCAGCCATCAGCCCAGAGCCTGACGCGGGGCTCGAACTCACGGACCGCGAGATCGTGACCTGGCTGAAGTCGGACGCTTAACCGACTGCGCCACCCAGGCGCCCCATTACTGTGTAAATTTTTAAATTGATTTTTTAGTTGACATTCAGTGTTACATTAGTTTCAGGTGCACAACAATGCTTACCATCTGTCATGATACGAAGTTACCACAGTATTATTGACTATATTCTCTATGCTGTACATTTCATTCCCATAATTTACTTATTTCATAACTGGAAGCTTGTATTTCTTAATACCCTTCACCTATTTTGCTCATTACCACTTGCCGTGGTGAGCACTGTGTAATGTATATGTCAGATCGCTGCATTGCACACCTGAAGCTAATATTAGCATTGTATGCCAATTATACTTCAGTTATTTAAAAAAAAAAAACTTGTATGAATTTTTCTACTTGTTTTCCGATCCCCTCATTTTTTAATGCTGTGGTACCTTTTCTATAGCTAATGCGCCATTTTTCTCAGCTTTTCTAAAGGCTGTAGTAAGCACCAGCTAAATGCATATAAGATGATGGAGTCATTTATTGGAGAAAAAATTGAAGCAAAGGAGGGGCGCCTGGGTGGCGCAGTCGGTTAATCGCGACTTCTCAGCCGAGTCACCGATCTCGCGGGTCTGTGAGTTGGCAGGCCCAAGCATCAGGCTCTCAGGCTGATGGGCTCAGGGAGCCTGGACTGCTTTTCCCATTCTGTGCTCCCTCTCCTGCCTGCCTCCTCCGTCATGCTCTGTCTCTCTCTGTCCCCAAAATAAATAAACGTTGAAAAAAAAATTCAAAAAAAAAAAAAAATTGAAGCAAAGGAAATTTAGTCTTAATATTAGACAGTATAAGACTTTCTCCCCCTCTTATCTCATTAATGTGTATTTTATTCATCTCAACAAGGTAGAATTTGGCCTACAAATATGTGTTGATAGAAAATTTTTAATTGAGGGGCTCCTGAGTGGCTCAGTTAAGCACCTGACTTCGGCTCAGCTTATAAGCTCATAGCTTGTGGGTTTGAGCTGCGTCGGGCTCTGTGCTGACAGCTCAGAGCCTGGAGCCTGCTTCAGATTCTGTGTCTCCCCCTCTCTCTGCCCCTTCCCTGCTCGTGCTCTGTCTCTTTCTCAAAAATAAATAAACATTAAAAAATTTTTTTAAAAAATTAATTGAAATTTCAGAGCGTTCAATGCTGTGAAAATAGCACATATTCTGTAGTTGTTTGTTACCTTTTTCATTTTTTGGCAGATAAAATAACACAAGAAGATATTGAAGGCATTCTGCAGAAATTTACTGGGAATATAATGCAGGTACCTCCCCTGTAAGTTCACTTACTGAATTTGAAGAAATGTTTAATTTTTATTTTTCAGTGTTTAACATCACTTTAATGAGAAAACAAACAAACAAAACGGCTTCCTTCTGTGTATGGTGAAGCACGTTTTGATCCGACAGAGCGTCTGCTCCAGTAGAGGTGGGCCTGACTTAGGCAGCTTGCAGAGCTTCTGGCACTCTCTGGGGCGGCGCGATGCCGTCTCCTCTGGCCCTGGATGCTGCCACGGCTTGACATCCATGCCGTTCCAGTGCTGATGGGCTTCTGTGATTTGCACCCACACGCCTCAGGGCAGGTCTGGAGCGCAGAGAGGTCAGTTTTCCTCGAACTGCTGCGAGGGGCCCGGTCCTGTCCAGTGCTGCTGTCAGAGCTGTGATTTGTAGTCCAGTGGCTACTTTTGTTCAGGCATCGGGACCATTTCCTGTGGGCCCAGAATCTTACGCTTCACAATTCTCAGCAACAAATGAGACAGATGAAAGTTACAATTTATTAAATGTATAAGAATATTGATTTACCACTTAACCATATTTTTTGTGCACATTACTATTTCAAGCAAATTGCTTTTTATTTTAAAAAATGGCTGTATCGTTATGCGTCGGGCAAAGTTACTGACAGTTCTTTTAGCATTTAGTACTTTTTATTTTAAAATCTTGATTTTTTTCAAGAACGCTGAAATATCTAACAGGGAAATGGGTCTTCACAATTTTGCTTCAAATGAAAGTTTAAAAAATTTTTCAGGATATGGATAAATGTTATTTTTGATCATTATTGTTATAAATAAAATATAAGTATGTTTATTTTAAGAGCAGTTTTAGAAATTTCTTCCCGGGACTGTTCCAAGGATTTCGTAGTCTAATAAAATTTTATCACACAAAGCTAAGATCTGTTAAGTAGATTATCTGCTTCTTTGCATTTTGAAATGTTTTGACAACTTGTATGTGAAAATGAATATTATTGTAATGGAAATTGTTTCAAGGAAACATAGTTGAGACCATTGTGACCAGAGGCCTTGTCACAGTGTCCTTGACCCAGAACCCGGACCAATGAACAAACATTTGTATAGACCACCTCCACAGAGAAAGTGGAAGGATAAAATTGACAATATTGCTCATTGGGTACCAGATTAAGCTTTCGCTTCAAAGATATTTAGGAATTCCATCCCTGGCACCATCACGGAACAGATTGGAAGGAAAAAAGAAGTCCGACTGTTAGATTTTCCGTTTAAGTGCCGCTCGTCATCCTTTCTTTCCATGCTGTAATCTGGAGTTATGCTCTCTCATTCTTTCTTAACCTTTTCTCTCTCCTTCACGCCCTGTCTCTCTCCCTCATCTTGCAAGCTATTCTGCATTAAAGAAAGACGGACAGAGACTTTCAACCTTGATGAAGAGAGGTGAAATAGTAGAAGCGAAACCTGCCAGGCCAGTTACGGTGTACAGTCTCTCCCTTCAGAAATTCCAGCCACCATTTTTCACATTAGGTAAGGTGGAAAGACTTGAAATCATGTGTAGTTAGTTACATGTACTTTTATCTTGCATTCAGCTGCTTTCGTGTAGTTTAATGGATCCCTAGGATATTGGAGATTTTTTTAAACTTGAATTTAGGTAAGGTTAGGATTTGTTAATACCTTTTCGAAAACACATTTGACGAACATACTGATAGCTACATGGAAGTTCAGAAATGCTTTTCTAAATGCTTTTCTTATTATCTTATATATAATAATATAAATATCTCTACATTGTAATATACCTATTATATTATAAAGTTGGAAATAAACATACCTTCGATCTCTAATGGCAAAGAGTAGATAAGGGATATACACTTTCAAAATTTTATATCTTGTGTTTTTACTCTATTATGGATGGTTGTTCCCCCATTTTGGCTAGTACCTGGTAGTTTACATTCAGCTTTAAAATTTAATTTGTCCTTTAAAACAAAGCATTTTTAGTTTTTGGACAAGAAATTCTAAGGATAGAGTCATTATTTCTCCCCCTTCTTTGTTACCTGCAAGTTACTGCTAAAGATCTTGACAATATGGAGACAATGGGTAAGGCACAAGTGTTTGATTACACATGGGGTACATTTTAATTCAGGTTATCAATTTGAAAGTATCTACAATTTATATTTGAAATAAATTTAAAAACCAAAACGTTTGTCTCTATTGTTCGGGAATTTGATGATCTCTTAGTTGCAGAAAGTAGTAGCTGAAGCCACGAACATCTATGAGCTGTGAAGAATTGAAAGCTGTGGTTCTTCTGAATTCTCAGGCTTCCTTAAACTGAACCTGCTCTTAATTTCACAGTGACTACTAACTAGGATTCCCTTGAGAAATAATTTCCCAAAACTTTTTTTCCCTATATTCTATTGCTTTGACATACTATTTGAGGTGTATTAAGTTCCTATAGAATGTGGTTTTTGTACAGTTGAAAAAATGAAGTCACTTCTTTAGCTTCCTGATTCTAAAATATTTGACAAATAATGAGAAAAACATACTAAAAAATACCTCATTCCATGAAAACAAAGCAGCTGGGTCGGCACGGTAGATATGATCTATGAAAGGAGGAGAAGCTTGAATTTTTCTGATTGCATTTTAGTTGTAAATAGTTATTATGTTCACTTATTTTGTAATAGGCCAGAAGAGTTGTCTTTTCACCAACGTCAAATATAGTGCAAGAGTGATTATATACCTACTTTGATCCTCGTGCTCGTTTTTTAATCTCAGCTGTGGTCCCCAACCTTGAGCCGATGGAGAAGAAAAAAGAAAATCCCCAGGTAGTGAGTTTTGATTAATTCCCTCAAGTGGCTTTCTTTGTAGGATAAGACTATAAGCACCAGGAATGTAGTTCTTTGTGTGGAAATTCAGGATGTCTTGTGGACGAATGAAAATAATCCGGAGCCCTGCTCTTAACCAATAAGCACATAATCTACTGTGAAGATGTTTACATATGCAGTCACTCTGGAACATTGTGTAATTTTAGTTATTTTATGACTTCTTCAGGAATATTTCCAAGAGAACATTTACATAGACTGAGCTCTCCATGTAGTATATTTTCCCAAACATAATTACCATCCCTGATACGGGGTTTTTGTTGTATTTTTTGAGTGTACCCATCTGACAATATCTTAAAAATCTACAGTTTCTGATGGCGAAGCTGAGATGTCCCACCTATTTAAAACCGACAAAATGGAAAAGGTGTAAAAATCTGAAAATCTATTTTTAAGCGTCCAGCTCATAATATCAAAGCTGAGACTCCTCACTATTTAAAACCTATTAAAGGAACAAGGCTAAAGGAATTACGTGGTGTGACTTGCCAGTTTTTTAAAAATGTGTTCATGAGTTTCTGCTGTTTGCTCTCTCCACACTCTGACTTTTCAATCTCACAAACACATATGCTATTGGATGAATAATTTATGTTTTAGCACATAAATATTTTATCACTCGATTGTTTGCATAGTGCATTTTTACATTTGTTTAGGGGCATCATTTCTATGTAAAGTGGATTTCATGGGAGGTTAGCAATTTACCATGTCACTGTTAACATTCCAGATGTTGAATGTGGAGGAGGTTTTTATATCAGAAGCTTGGTCAGTGACATTGGCAAAGGTAAGCATAAAGATGAATTATGAATTATCATTTAGAGAGTAATACTCGCTTTTGATGGGAAGAGGGAATTTTCTATTTTTCCTATCTCTGAGTGCCGGCCTTAGGGAACTGTACCCTCGCTGCCTTCAGCTTCAAAAGCATTGTAGGTTTATGGCATACAATTATCGGCATCAGCAGCTGCAGTGAGATGCTTGTAACAACAGGAGACAAAGAGAGAGAGAGGAGCAGAAAATGAAGATGGGGATAATGAAGGCAAGAGCCAACATAATTGCGAGTATGAAAGATTCTAACTCCAATGGGATAAGATAAAAAGATGGATCCGTCTACAAGTTACTTCCATTGACGCAAGTAACATTTTCTTTAGAAACTGGAAGGCATAGTCCTACAAACAGCTAGAAAGTTGCAGTCCTGGCCCTGCCGTTTCCTGGCGGTTGTGGCACCGGACAGGTCAGGTTACCTCATCTGCAGATGAGATTAATAGTTCCCTCCTGGGCTTGCTTCACGGTTAAGTAAGAAAAGTCTGTGTAAGTTCCTTGTGGCCTTTGAAGCAGTTTATAAGGTGAGTTACTAAATACCATTTTGCTACTTCGTCATTTGTCAAGGCTCTTGGTTCTTAGATTAGCTTATTACAGTTTTACATTTGGGGTGCTTTTGAGAGGTTGGAATCCGAGGTGTTCTGTCATTTGAAAAATTGTGATGACTGTGGACTACTGAATCGTTGACCCTGTGGATTTTCTTTTCGCCTTTTGTTGCCGTAGAACTGTCTTCCTGTGCCAACGTCCTAGAGCTGACCCGAACCAAGCAGGGGCCGTTTACACTAGAAGAGCATGCCCTTCCTGAAGACAAGTGGACAATTGATGACATCGCCCAGTCTCTAGAACATTGCTCATCTCTTCTCCCGGCAGAGCTGGCACTTAAAAAGTCAAAACCTGAGGAGTCTAATGAACAAGTTTTGAGCTGTGAATATATAACCCTAAATGAGACAAAGGGAGAAGAGGATATAATTAAGGCCTCTTAAGATTGGCTTGGCGTTGTCGTCATTTCTTGGTTGACATTTGAGTCCTGTGTACAGAATGGCAAGCTACATGCAAGAGATGAACAACTGTTTCTTTTTTTCTTCCCGCATGATTTTTTTTCGCATGAAGAAAAATGTCCATCATTGACAGTTTCCGTGGTGTACAATTTATCTGCTCTACATTATAAATAGCTTTGCAGTGACTTATTCAGTTCTTTGCCTCACTGTGAAATGTTGTTTTAGGATGTTATTATGTTGTTCAGTTGGATTCAGGAAAATCAACCTTCTGATTTTGATCTTTCTTCAGAGTCTTTTTCTAATCAAAGAAAAAGAAATACAAGCTATATGTTTCTTTGGTGTCACAAGACTGAATGTAACTTTGACTTTGACTTTATTTTGGCTTCCTAGTGGCTCTATTATATTGAAGTTCTTATGTTTGAAAAGACCATTATTTAACTTACATTTTGGAGTTTACAGTTATTAACATTTATTTGACAAGACTTGTACTTAACCTGGTAATAGCTATGTTTGTTTAGCTCTTGGAAACGAATAAACTTTTATAATAAATATTTGTAAATAAACCAAATTGTTGCTGCTACCACTAACAGAATGTAAGAAGACTAAATATTTAGTTAAATTCACGTCTACCATGAGCGCAAAGGACAGCCCCGTGGCTTATATTTGGCAGCTACGTGATCTTTTCCTGATGATTTCATCCATACAATCAACCGCCCTGTACCAAGTTACTAAATAGCATAATTGTTTAAAAAGTAAGCCAAGGAATGTGTCTTCAGTTTAAAATTTCTTTTGTCTATTTTTTAGTATTTATTTATACCTCTACAGGGCATTAATCCCGGTGATACTGGTTTTTTTTCTTTAGTTTGCTCTTTCAAATTATATTTATAGACGTCGAGATAGCTGCCATACATGTCTAGCTAATCCCTTCTGCTCTAAATATTTTAAAAGCTATTCTCCAACATTTTCATTCAAATAGCTTACTGAAAGTTCCCTAACCCTTTTTTAACATAATTTTGAAAATGTAGTCACAAAATGGTACGTTTCACATATAACGAGTCCTTCATATTTTTATTATGGGAAAGCAATATATTATGTGGCCAGTCTTTAGAAATGTCCAAATTCTGCTTCGTTTATTCAGATAAATATAGTTTCTAAAGGAAGAATAGTTTAAAATTTCATAAATCAGATGTTTCTAGATTTTTATGGATTGCCTGTCTTTTAAAAGTAGTTGCCTGTTTGCAATCTCCAAAAATTTTAAATCTGTAAAGTCATGGGATTTTATTTGTAGTTAACTGAATATAAATTCAGTACGAAAATTTATAAAGCATATATAGCTTTTTATATATGGAGCGTTTTATCACATTGGCAAGGTATCTTAAATGAAAATATTAAAAGTAATTCTGACACACAAAACTGTAAGGAAAAGAGTTTGCTATCTCAATGCATTCACATAAAATACCAAACACACAAATTTGTAAGTTTACAACTTTACTTATCTTGTGCCCTGCAGTTTGTCCCACTCAGAAGTGGAGTCCGCCTCTGTCTGCTGGGGTGGCCCAGGTGATAGGTCGTCAGGCTTTGCCAGTTAAGGTCCAAATAGAGGAAAATTTAGGTTTTAGGAAACAGTTGGGGCATTTCTCCTCTATTTCTCAGCTTAAAAATTGCCATGTATAAATTTACTGGTGGAGAAGAGTAGAGATTATGTATCTTTTTCTTAATATTGAAAACATTGAAGAAAATTTTGCCAAATAGAAAAATTACCCACAATCCTCACCATCCTGACGCAGGGACTTCAGAACTTTAATTTTGTATTACCATTTTCCCTTTTTTGGTTTACATAATTACAGTCTTAAGACACCTATATTTTCTAATCGACTATTTTTTCATTTCTTGTTCTGAGATGCTTTGTATTTACTTTTGATAATTATTATTTTAATCATATCACTTCATATTCAGTTTACTTAAACCATTATCGTAATTCTTGAACTCTGAAGTTATTTTCAGTTTTACTAGGATCGATTCCCGGGAGTGGGATTATTGGCAGAGTAAGAACACTTTTATGGCTCTTCGTATGTTTGCCTTATTGCTTCCCAAAGAGTTATAACATTTTACACTGGCACCATTTAAGTATCTCCGTTCATTAAAAGTTTACAGCTTTGGGTGGATGTTTTATATGTTGTTGCTAAGGTAGTAAGTATAAGAGTTCAAAACTGCTCTTAATTTGCTTTTGTGTGACTTTTTTGTATACTTTGTTCATTTATATAAGTAAATGTCTTAATGGCTTCTTTATACATTTGTATGAGTTATTTCTGCAGTAAATACTTGGTAGCAAGTATTTTCGTGGCCTGTTGTCTTTTTAATTTTCATTTCATTTTTCATTTTTGCTAACTAGATTTACGAATGTTAATAACTGTTCCCCTCTTATAGTGGTCAGATTTATGAATATATGAATATATGAATAATTAAAATTATTTTAACTTTAAAGTAGTCTTAACTCATACACAGCTGAAACTGATCAAAATGCTCTGAAAAGTTCCAAACTCGTCGATAAATACTAGACTCTCAGGAGAAAATGAATTTAAGTACTGATTGTTTTGTTTTTTTCATTATGTAGTTCTAGGCCTAAATTTAATGACATGGTAAAGTTGTTTTACTTGTAAGAACTTCTTCCTGAAAATGTTTCAACCTGGAACATACCAAATTACTTTCTACACTTCAGATTTTTTTGTATTTCTGAAAAATATTTTCGTCTTAAAAGTCATCACAGGTGGTCATAGGATTATTTTATGTATGATTTTGAAATTTATGAGCATTAAAATAATACAGATTTTCTAATTCAAAATCATAAAATTTGAATAAGGGCTAAGCTCACATTTTCTTATGCTGACTAGATCTTTTCCTCTTAAATACTTGAATTAATACAAGCTACTGATCCATCATCAGAAATGATTAATTTTGTTAAAAAAAAAAATAGTGCTTTATATATCAGGTCTTCAGTGCATTTTATACCTCTCTGACCAGTTTGAAATTTGTGTCAGACTTAAAATGGGCACTTAGAGGTTCATTTAGATTGTGAGTTCTATTTCAAAGGAAGAAAGTAATTTACCTTCTGTCATTATGTATATAATAGAGAAAATGTCATTGAAAAGGCACTCTAAAATGTTGAAAAGAATTTAAAGAGAGAATATAATAGATAGCTTATGTATTGAAATCATTATGATGGCCTTGTAGTCAAAACTTTAGAAGACTTGTCCCGACACTATTTCCTTACAGTATGTGTGGGCAGCCCTAGCCTGGCCTAATCATTAAGTATCATTTGTTAAACACTTACTACATGGCATTTGAATCAATAATGCCTCATATTTTCAACTTGAGTTCAATTCTCTTGATGAACAGGAATATTTCAGATTGCTGTTATACATGGTGATACCAGCAGGAAAGTTGAAGTCAGAATTTACTATTTTGTTCTTCTTACCCATGACTCTTAAAATATAACATTAAGATAGTTTCTGTCTCCACTATTAATCAGCTTTTTGATCCAGGCAAATCAATCTTTCAGGGCCCCAGTTTTCTTATCTTTGAAACCAAGGGGGCGGACCAGTCCATCTCTAAGAACTTTTCCATCTCTAAAATAGTAGGCTTCTGAGTACAAAATAAATGTGTATTTCTTCTGTTCAGAAACTCATAACCTGAATTTGTGTTGTTCATTAAATTCTCTTCCTTTGTCACTTTGAATAGTGCATCTCTTCCATCCAGTTGTATTAGATTTACGTCCCATCTTCTCATTTTGTTTTATGTGTCTAATTACTCTTTCATATTTTCTCTCTCTGCCCTCCGTGCTGTAGCATGGGGAATTGCCTTGAATCTTTTGCACGTAATGAATCCCTTCTGCTATTTCAGTTTACTGCTTAACAATATATTCATTTTAAGGATCATTGTATTTTTAGAAAATTTCTAGAATATCTTTTTTTTCAAAATCCCTCTTGTGTGCCGTCTTGTTCTTTCATCAGATTTTAGTTTAAATATATATATTTGAATACAGCTTAAATAGTATTTTTACTTTCGCTGAAAATATACAGAAAATAGCGCATATCATAAATGTATAGCCTGATGAATTTTCACAAGGCAAACACACGTGTAACCGGCGACCAAATCAAGAAACTGAACATTACTAGCCCACCAGAAGCCGCCTGAAGTTCTCTTCCAGTCACTAGCCACTGACCCCCAACCTACCACCAAGGGTAATCACTTCTAACATTATAAATTATTAATTTTCTTTTGTGCTTTATATATACAGAAGCATGCAATATATACTCTGATGTCTGGCTTTTTATATGTGTTTTTTAATTTACTTCCAAGTTAGCATATTGTGCAACAATGATTTCAGGAGTAGATTCCGTAATGCCCTTTACCCATTTTAGCCCATCCCCCCCCCACAGCCCCTCCAGAAACCCTCTGTTTGTTCTCTATATTTGAGAGTCTCTTCTGTTTTGTCCCCCTCCGTTTTTGTATTATTTTTGCTTCCCTTCCCCTACGTTCATCTGTTTTGTATCTTAAATTCCTCATATGAGTGAAGTCATGTATTTGTCTTTCTCTGACTTATTTTGCTTAGCATAATACACTCTAGTTCCATCCATGTTGTTGCAAATGGCAAGATTTCATTCTTTTTGCTTGCCAAGTAATACTCCATTGTATATAGATACCACATCTTCTTTATCCATTCATCCATTGATGGACATTTGGGCTCTTTCCATACTTTGGCTATTGTTGATAGCACTGCTATAAACATTGGGGTGCTTGTGCCCCTTCAAAACAGTACACCTGTATCCTTTGGATAAATACCTAGTAGTGCAATTGGTGGGTTGTAGGGTAGTTCTATTTTTAATTTTTTGAGGACCCTCCACACTATTTTCCAGAGTGGCTGCACCAGTTTGCATTCTTACCTGATGTCTGGCTTCTTTAGCTCAAAATTACATTTGTGAGAT